ATTATCTTCCTCGTGGGGTTTGCGGATCCAGCTGCCGTAGCCCATCTCTTCCAGCGCGCTGAAGAAGCGCTGCTTGGCTTCTTGGTAGGCCGTGGCCGCCTCCTTCGCATCCGAGTACAGCGAGAGGCTCTGCAGGTCTTTGCAGTTGTTCTTGGTGCATAACTGCTGGAAGAGGGCGAACATTTTCCTCTTGGACACACGAGACACCTCCAGCTTCGGTCTGAGAAAGGAGACGAAGGCAGCAGTGAAGGACAGGACACTCAGAGGAGTGGGGAGCAGCGGGGAAAATCCCACAGGAGATCTCGTGGCTCGGTGGGGTGCTGTGTAGGGTCTGGGCTGGGCAGTGTTGTTTTGCTTCAAGAGCGCTCGCTTACATCAGTTTGAAATTCCTCCCTCCAACCCTCCCCACATGCTGCAACAGCGCAGAGCGCACTCGTGACTTCAGAGCTGCCCCCCCCCCTCCCTCCAAACAGAAAAGCAGCGTCAGGAAAGGCTCCTCTTACCCATCTACTTTCCCTTTTGTGCCATCCAAGACTTCAACTTCGCTTTCATCAGCAAGGCACCAATTCACCGAGGACTCCTTCGTCTTGCCCGTCTGCCTTGCAGAGTCGTATACGCTGACTCGCCCGACCTGCGTACGGGGGAAGAGGGTTTTTTCACACCGGTCCCGCTGCGCAAGCTTGCCCGGGCGCAGGGCACCCACCACCCCGCCCTGGCCCGTGGCACGGCCTTCCCATCCCAGACACTTGGTGCTTTGCCTGTTAAAACCTCAGTTACCCGCTGCCCGAGGTGCCCCGCCACTGGTGCTGCTCCGGTCGAGAAGCAGCCATGTTAGGTCTGGTCTTACCTGGGCCATGCGAAAGGCAGGGAGTTTCTGTCCCCTGCAGACAGGGGTTCAGCTCATCCCAAAAGTGCAGCAAGCGCTAGGTTCTTCCTAAGCTGAAGGCTACCAGGGCGACCTTGGTCTCATTTTCCCCCAGACCGAGTCATTGCCAGCAGCCCCCAACACCGTGGGATGACACGGAGGGGGCAGGCTTCTGGCCATTACCCCCTGCCCATGGCTGGGGAGCTTCCACCAGCTGAGCCCCCCCAACAACGCGAGGCCTGAACCCAAGGGCTGAGGTGGAAGGGTGGGGGGACAGAAAGACAAAGAGGTACCTCAGGATGGTTAATGTGATAGGGAGCCTGGAGCTTTTCCTGCAGCACGCTCCCATCTCTTGCCAGGCGGCAGCAGATCGCACGCGTTAAATGCCCCTGACTGTACAGGTAACCTGCGAAGGCAGACGCGAAGGGATGAGGGACCAGGAATGGCACGGGCCGAACCCCGAGAGCCACAGCGCTTCTCAAGCTCCAGCAAGCTCGCGGCCATGCGGATCAGCAACAGCTACGCGTACCTTGGATGTGTAAGATGAAGGTTTATAGACCGCAACGTTTCTCACCGAAGACACAAACAGGCAATTTTTGTCTTGCCCTCCCAGATCACGTGTGCCTTCTAAAAATCAAGAGCCTTGGAGAAAAGCCCACTCCACCCCCAGCATAAAATCCACAAACGCCCTTTTCCCTTCCAAACAGCACAGCGCTGCCAAGAGCCACGTCTCAGTCTGTTACTCCTACAGCCTCAGACCGCAACGTTTCTCACCGAAGACACAAACAGGCAATTTTTGTCTTGCCCTCCCAGATCACGTGTGCCTTCTAAAAATCAAGAGCCTTGGAGAAAAGCCCACTCCACCCCCAGCATAAAATCCACAAACGCCCTTTTCCCTTCCAAACAGCACAGCGCTGCCAAGAGCCACGTCTCAGTCTGTTACTCCTACAGCCTCCACAAACAAGGTTTTCCATCGCTCAGGGAGGGGGGGGGGGTTACTTGCCCAGTCCTAAGGAGCAGGGCAGCACACCCCAACCA